TTTCTTTGTTCATTGTTTAGCCGCATTCGCTGTTCAGTCGAGTCAAACTCAGTACATCAGAAGATGACAGAGAAGGCCTGTTACAGATCACATCAAAATACAAAATCGGCGCGTCCCTCTTACCTATCAAGTCAGTGGGTGTCCAGGGAGATGGACGGTCATACAGCTATGTTGTCGCTCTGTCGAGTAACGATACACCCGACTGGAAATCGCTTCTATTCCTCGCTAAACTGATTCCCAAAGTGTGTCATAATATCAACAGGTAATACATCTTATTCATAAACGGCCGTCCTGTAAGTTTTTGTTTGATGATATCAAATCACTGCAAAATATGTTATCTTGAGAAGTTTAAGGGTTCTTGCAATTTGATTTGCTAGTTTAAATAAAAGCCATCAGAAAGTTGTCAAAAATGAATCCAAAACTTTGTCGAGTGGCAACGGTATTGCGCTTATTTGGGAAGACGTTATAGGCAAAAAGATAAAGGCGTTTCCTTGTTTGGCATTCTTTCAGAGTTTGTTTCACGTTCGGAAAGAGGATCAAGTTCCAGATACAAGATGTCACTCCCACGTTTTTGTCACCAGGAGTGATAAGCACTTTGAGACAAGCTGATCATGTCGCATACTCTGTTATTCACAAACGTGGTAAGTTAATGCCTATGTATAGCTTATAGAGCGGTTTTTCAATTGAGTGCCGAAAGTAAACATGCTTTTGCTTCGGTTTTACTTTACTTCGCTCTCTGATTGGTATTTAATAACCAATCAGAAGCCAAATTAAAACCAATCTGACTTGGTCACACGCATTTTCCCGCGCTTAGCGCTGGTTACGTGTATTTTTTTCGAGCTCTGATTAGTTCCTTGTGTTGTTTTCGTCTGTTGTGATTGGCCAGAGTGCTTACTTTGGTTTTCCTCTCATTAAACTCCTCTAAGGATAATGCATCAGTCGATTCCAGCAGTGCCCGGTCAACCCCTTACATTAGCATTTTGTTAAAAAAAAAAAAGGGTAAATGTCCCACGGTGGGGACAAAATTTTGCCCAAGCTGTTCAAATGCCCCACGGTGCTGTAAAAACTTCGCTCGGGATATCTTACCACAACTTTACTAAATGTTCCTAACGTTTTGTGATTTCATTGTTGTTGTTTTTTTGCTTCAGATGTTGTGGACAAGCTCAGTCAGATGCCAATTGTTTTGATACCAATCCACTTCGACCGAGATCCCATCGACCACATTCCATCCTGTCAGCGGTCTGTTGTGATCAGAACGTTTATCACGAATGACTTCATGACGGGAGTCCCCGCTACTCCAGGAAAACAGATACCTATTGAGGTACTATGCCAATTAATGCTTCATGTATGCGTCACTCACAGTTACGTTATTTGGGTCGCCACATTACGCTCCTCTCTATTGGGGGGGTTAGCCTGCGTAGCTGGCGGTCCTGTTGGCGCGCGAAGTAAAAATTCGTAAGCAGAAGCCGCGAGAGTCTGGGGCGGTACTCTCGCGGCTGCGCCGTTCGCATTCGCTTACTTCGCGCGCCAAACAAGATGCCACCGGGGGGGGGGGGGGGGGACAGGACAGGGGGGGTCTGAACTTCCCGCTTCCCGCACGTACTCCCGGTTCCTGTCCCGCCTTCAGTTTTCTCTTTTTCTATTGCAAATATGCCCGCCCAAAATATTATGCAATGTTATTTTCTCCCAGTTTCTGCCACGTTGAGAAGCCCGCTTCCCTCCCTCTCTTCTCCGATCGATCCCGCCTCCCGTAGACTCCCCCCCCCCCCCCCACATCCCCTCTCACTTTTTACTAACGGTTGCTGAAACCTGAACCACATTCCTGCTTTTCGAGGTTTATCAAATCACAGCTCAGCTTCCATGCCATTGCTAAAGTTCTTGATTAGATTTTGACATTTTTATGTTGGTTTCCCATTCTTGACCAATCATAAACCAAGTTAGTCTTGGAGGCGGGAAATAGCCACGTGCCGATACATTGCACATGCCGTTGTTGACTCTGATTGGCTGAGAAGTTTGGTAAACCAATAGAAAGATGTCAAATAAATTACTTTCGTTTCATACTGTTCTGTAAGTACTAGGAACAGATTATTGCGTCGAGGTCTTCCCTTCTGAAGGTATTTTTCGTTTGCTATTTGTCAGGTTTTGAACGAAATGGTTGCATCTTTGAAAGAAGTACAAGGCATCTCGCGAGTTTTGTACGATTTGACTTCCAAGCCTCCAGGAACGACAGAGTGGGAATAATCAAATGCCCGCGGCGAAACCACACAACATGGCACAGCGGCCTGTATTTAATTGAGGAGACTGTTGAAGTACAACTTACAAACAGCAAATTGTTAAATCCCTTGTTCGCGGTTTAAAGTACAATTCCACACAAACATCGTGGCTTAACAATGAATCGCGGACATTTACAGACACAAGCGTACAAATATGGAGTGGCATACCTTAATGGACACTGCGTGTCAATCACTGTTTAGACAGCCAATCACGAGCCGTATATTTGCACAAAGAAGACCTTATAAAGTCGATGCCACTTGGCGTCATTTCTGAAGATATTGACTGGACTTTTGCCACGTTTTCGTCTTGCAAATCCAGATAGAATAGAAATCCGTGTTTATAACAAACACTTTTTAGCCCTAGCTGTAGTTTAATTCACTGTAAATTTGAGACCAAAAGTATCTGCGGACATTTTTTCCTCTCACTTCATTTTGCTTCTCATTCGACGTATTAAGGGAAGGAGGGACACTTAGTTGATAATCAACTTGAAGTTGATAAAGGTATTAATCGCCGTAGCGAATTTTGAAAGCTGACGTTTCGAGCGTTAGCCCTTCGTTGGAGCAGAGAGACTGCTCGTAGCAGAGGAAGAGGGACTACTCGTAGTCTGAGAAGTGTCTTGCTCAGGTGCATTTTGAAATAAAGCTAAATCTAACAGTGTAGGGTAGATATTAATAAATTGCAACACGCAATTGTGTGTTCTTGCTAATTAAAGATACTAGAGACAACTGTGTAATAACCTGGCATATTTAATACATGTAATCCACCATTTAATCGGTAATTTATCATACTATTATTATTTAATCTATAGCCCATTTGCTGTGTATTTAGGAACGTCACATTAAACAAGAAATTCCACTATAAAAGGGGCTGGCGGGCTGGTACTTTCTACCTATACAGTCGAAGCTCCGTAAGCGGACACCTTCAGGAAGCAGAAAAAGTGTCCGCAACTGGAGCTGGCCGCTTAAGGGAATGTGTAAATACAGAGTTTGTATGAGCTAGAGTTCAAAGGCGGCCGTAAGTAGAGCTGTCCGCTTAGAAGAGTGTCCGCTCAGAGAGCTTCGACTGTATCTACAAAATCGTATCAATTTTAATGAACATCCTTGGAAAACATTAAATACATTTTGTCAGTTATGATCGAAGACTGGGCTTAGGTTGTTCGCTTTGGTGGATGATTGACAGCTTCTGTAGGTGTGGGAATGGCCCGGCCACGTCCCTTTTATACCGAAACTTCTTGTTCAAAGGAGTACCAAAGCCTGGGTTTTCACTAGCGACGCAAGCACAAGCGCAAGCAACATACGCAGTAACATGTTGATTTGCCTAAACAAAAGGCACTGAGGATCAACGCATTACTGCGTCTGCGTATGTTGCTTCAGTGCGCTTGTGTCGCTAGTGAAAACCAGGCTTAAGCGTAAGATAGAAACAATTAGGTAACTTTTTCATGGACAAGCGGGAAATGTAACGTACTTGTGACACGAGATTCAGCTGCTGTTTTTAGACAGTTTTTCTTTTGAAGGTAATCGATATTACACGAAACCATTTATCAAACTAGAAGAAACTCTGTACAAATAAAATTGGGGAACTACTTGAAAAATAGCTTAACGTTTTTCATTCCTGTGTCATATATTTTCTTGTTTACCGGTTACAAAATATTTCAATAACTTAGTCTATCTAGTACGTAATTAACTTTGTAAATAGCATTTTGAATATCTAAGAATCTGCAATTAAAATAACGGTTCTTGTTATATTTTGGGCAACTGCTCTGTTCCTATCATAACTGGTTATGCAACATACTATTTTCTCATTTTCTTTCTAGTCAAATATCTTACAATACCCTATAAATGTGGCGTATTTGAATATAATCTTTTCTTGGCAAAACTATCATTTCTAGATATGTTTATAGCAGTTTTCAAACCAAAACCAAAGCAATGGCCAATCACAGCGAACGTAATCAACACTGAACCAATAGAAACTCGAAGCAAATACACGTGACCGGCGGCAAGCGCGGGAAAACGCGTGTGACCAAGTCGCGATTGGTTATGGTTTTGCATCTGATTGGTTGAGAAGGTGGCGCGAGTTTTTTAAACCAATCGCAGATCGTAGTAAAGCAAAACCAAAGCAATTCAGGATTACTTTCGACACTCAATTGAAAACCGCTCTAAAATGATGGATTTGCTGATAAAGCCTTTCTCGAATGATTTTTCTAGAAAAATAAATTTTAGTCTGCAACGCAGAAAGAACAAAAAATATCACTGGCTGATTTATTTATTTTTATTTTCCAATAACTTTTTAACTAATAAATTCATATTGCGAATCGCATAATTTATTTCTCTCCTCGGTTAGAAGTACTCTTATTTACAAATTAACTGTAAATGGTCTATTTGTCGTAACCTTTACTTTTTGGCATCTAAATAATTTATCGTAGGTCAAACCTACCTCTAAAATTTAATAGATACATATGACTATTATTTAAAAAAATATTGTTTCAATTTTTATCACGCAATGTAAGGAATTTGGGTTAAAACGTTGTCTATAATATAACCGAGATGACATCTTGCTTTAAATGACGTGAGAATTGCTCCACAACAACGTAATAAATTACTATAGCTACGACGTTATCAGTGAAACAGGCGAAATCCGTTTCCGGATTTGACTGCAGTGGTATAAAATAATTACGAGTAAGATGTTGTTTCAGTTTGTCACGAGCGTGGGACAAAGAAACAAATCTGAGTCCCAGACGAGAGTCGAACCCATGACCTTCCGTACACCGGTCGGATGCTCTAACCACTGAACCACAGGGAGACTGGTGGCGAGCTAGGCCATATACTAGGTTCATGTGTGAAAAATAATCATGATTGACGGCAATTTATGAAGAAGACGAATGTTGAAGCGATGTTGATCTCAGTTCGTAGGAGTTTGCAAACTACACTTGAGTTCGCCACTTTTTCATTCAAATATTGAATTCTCCTATCCTCTGTGAAAGCTGTTCAGTTCTTTCATAAAGTTAACGGGTTTTTTTCAGGTTGTTAGTTGCCTTGTTACCGTCACCAGTCTCTCGCTGACCGAATCCGACGCACATCGACTGTAGCAGTGTTGAAGATACGGCAGGAAGAATCCGAGACATCCGTCGCTTGGCAACAGAGCTAGGAACTCACTGGGAGTCACTAATCTCGAGAGTTGCCCGAGCGTTCCTATGTATAAATGAAAAGAGAACACAGATTCAGGGCACGAAATTAACTTTTTTTTCCAGGAGCCATTTGGCTCCTAAATATTCCAAGGTGGTCGCCAACTACAAAAGTTAGTCGCCATTTTTCATTTTTTGTTGTAGAAATTCAGCACTAGAGACATAATCCATCGGCATACATGACGTATTCAAACGGTTTCGCACAACTCGCAATGCATTGTAGGGCGATTTATTTACTGAGCCAAGAGAAACTTTTGTTGACGTTTTTGGCTCATATTTCTTGTGATGAAAGCAAAACAAGACCAGAGAAATATTGTTTTTTAACTTTAATCTATTGTGTGACTTTTTATGGCAAAGTTAGAACTGAAAACTTCAAGTAAGATGTCAGAATTCTAGTAGGCGTAGTCGCCAATTTGGCGACTAATTTTCAGGATTTGGTCGCCAACGTGGAAAACTTGGGCGCATTGGCGACTGTATCAGGCGCAATTTCGTGCCCTGAGATTGCATACTCAACAAAATAAAATCAAGTTATTTTAATGATAAGACAACATGCAGCCATTGTTTTTGACATCTGGCACTGACCTTACACTTTTAAGGTCAGCACACACGAGGAGACTTGTCCCGTATATGCGCGCGAAATATGTAACGGACAGCAAGCGCGGGAAAACTTGCAACGAGGAGCAAGCGCGGGAAAACATGGTAGCGAGTAACAAGCGCGGGAAAATATGCAATGAAGGGCAAGCGCGGGAAACATGTAACCGACGGCAAGCGCGAAAACGTCACGTAAGCTACCTTATTCAATTTGATTGGCTAAAATGACAGACAACACCTTCTCTCTGATTGGATAGGGAATATTTCACTAGTTTGAAGAACAGTCACTGAGCACATCAACGCCAAACCAAAGATGACTGGAAATACATTTCGAAAACCTTATAAAATGCATTTCAAGATATAGCAACAATACTGAACACAGCTTGCAAACGGTACCTTTTAAGACTGCCACAATGGTCTCCCTCTTGGACTCAGAATCATCACTGCTTGTGTCTTCTTTACACATGTCTAGTAAGGTTTCGACCAGATGCGACCACTAAACAAACAAGAACAAACTCATCAATAACTCATCAGTACTGTGTAACAAAAAAAATAGTATAGGTAATAATACACTTGAAAAAATTACTCCATTCTGATTGGCTAAAAAGAGTGCAGCTTATTAACTTAAAAATAAACAATGTACAACACGAGTGAATTTGAAATTGATGAGAATTGCTCGCGCAACTAACCTTGTCAACATCCTGACCAAAATAATACTGTGCATAAGGCAATGTTATCATGGGAAACTCGTCTAAAACAACAGCAATAGCCTACAACAGAATAAACAAAGGTAAAAGGTAGCTTAGGTATAGTTATTGTGCAATTGATACAGTGAAAACTATATTGAGATTAGAGCGGTTTTCAATTGTGTCGAAAGTAATGCGGAATTGCTTTGGTTTTGCTTTACTACGCTCTGTGATTGGTTTAAAAACTCGCGCCACCTACTCGACCAATCAGATGCAAATCAAAACCAATCACGACTTGGTCACACGCGTTTTCCCGCGCTTGGTGCCGGTCACGTGTATTTGCTTCGAGTTCTCATTGGTTCATTACGTTGTTTTGTTTCTTGTGATTGGTCATTGTAATTGCTTTGGTTTTGGTTTTACGACACTCGCATTAAAACCGCTCTATAGTAAGTGAAAATTACGTATTAAAGTATTTGTAAGTAAATACTAAAGTTCATACCTCAGCATGTCTGTTTACATGAGGCAAACAGAGAAGCAATAAAGACGTCCGTCCTTTGATCTTCTGACCTTCAATTTTACTCAAGACAAAATTACACAACTCACTGCTAACAAACCGGGAACACAGCAGCGCCTGAAGAAAATCAAACATTTATATTTCAGCTATGGATAACTTGGGGGTGAAAATGAAGTCGAGTCACACACACAAAACGAGATTCTGGTACCTTTTAGGGGTTCTTTACAAAATGTCCGACGATCACCCCCGTCACTTTTATATGGGAGTCCACCCGGGATTAATGAAAGCGTTGTTCTGTGTATTTTGGGCGGAGATAAGAGAAGATTAGATGGACGATCAACCGGGCATTAATCACATGTTAAAGGAGCCAAATCAGCCTAGTTTGTTTTTAGCCAAGTTCGTCGTTTGCAATCCGTCTTAATCTTCTCCATCCTTAACCATCCTTGTTCCTGTTTAGTTTCTTATTACCCCTTTGGTGTTTTTCTACCTTTATAAATAATTATTTTTAAGTTTCATTCAATTTGAAGACAATTTGTACATCGCAAAAATGACTTAAAATATCGTGACATAGCTCCTACGCAGACTTTCTTTGGGCTCGTTACGCGATCCTTCCAAAGAGCATCTGTGCAGAAGGCTAATGTTAAGCTGAGCTGCCTCCCATGGCCAACCAGTCACCTGAAGTTTGATGAGATCCTCATTACAGCAGCAACAGGGACACTCGGCATTAAGGCTCGCTGGCGTGTCTACACTACGCTGAGGTGAAAGATAATGAGCCTTGCCAGCTGTTCGTCTAGATGCACTGGAAAACAGCGAAGTGGACCGAGACAGCTGAGGGGAGTCCTGGGGAGAAACTGGCTTGGAGCAAGGGCAGCCTGGAGCTCCAGGGAGAGACAAGGAGCCTGGAAATTAGAAAGAAAACAGTTTACAATTCTAATAACATAAAGGTCAAATTACTGTATTCCGATTGTCAAGACAGAGAGTATTTTTCGTTAATTTTGTTTGTCGAGGACAAAATTACTCCTAAGGACTTGTTAACCCGGAGACTTCCGAAGATGACCCGAACTCTCGAAGATTGCCGAAGATGACCCGAAGATTTCCGAAAACCACCCGAGGTCATCCGAAGATTTTTGAACCATGCGATTACCTAACTAACAACTTCAGTCGTTCGTTACATCAGGGTTGCACTTTATTTCCTTTTGGTACGCATGGTGACCTTATGAAGAAGTAATATAACACAACAGAGAGTGTTTCATCCGATTTCCACTACAAATGAAACCAAACAATTGACTGACCTTGAAAGGTGACAGCTTGTTCAGCCACGGATGACGTGTGCCAAAATGTCCTTCCCTTTGGCTAAATAACAAGCAACAAAGTATCATTGCAGTGTTCATATCGTTATAATTTCACTTAAAGCCCTGGCCAAACGGAGTCACAAGTTTTGAAACATGAACTTGCATACACTAAGACTTGCGTTGGGTGGCCAAACGGAGTCGCAAGTTTACTCGCAAGTTGTCAAAAATAATCCATCTCAATGCTATATGCTGGCTTCTGTTGGGTGGTCAGTCTAAAGACGATTGCTTCGAATACCTTGTTCTCTGACAAGTAGTTCCTGACACTCTAAGGGTGGTCATTTTAGATTCACCCAAAGTGATACCAAACCATGATTTTTAGGTACGATGATCACAGGAGTTTAGCCTCACGCCACCTAGTATCCTTCCCTCCCCCCCTGTTATCATGGCTATCACACAACCATCTTACCACGTGCTGATGAGACAAGGATGCCTGACGTTTTCTTTGAGTACTTCCAATCCTTTCCAGATAGATTCTACATAATGGAATCTGAAAACAATGAATTTTCTACCAATGAGTCAAAAATTATTAACAGCCAATAATTAAGACTCTCCTAACTTTTTCCATTGAAGAGCTGTAACATTAATTTCCCAAAATATTATGCAAAGATAAAGGAACTAAAAGTGCTTACATGCTATGAAAACTGGGATAAAGCCCCAAGTGCAGACTTATGCTTCCTATTACCCAATTCAGCAAGCAATCTTATTCCTGGGAATCTCTCCAGACAGACGGCAAACTAAACTGTAACATTATATTAAATGGACCCAAGCTACTCACAATAAAAGTGATATAAATTACACTTACCACTGTTGCGTCAAATGAGTCCAATCTGTTTTTATCTGAAATTCAAAAAGTTAAAATAAAGTAGGCCTATTGTACAGCAATATTGACATCAATAATTCTAGAAACTGACTGGCTCTTACAAAGTAACATGGCTTATTTGACTTGTAACTTTATGGGAAGTGTGGTGGCTTAATGGTTAGTGCGTTAGCCTCCGGATTGAGTGGTTTATGGCTTGACCAGGGTCAGTGTGTTGTGTTCTTGGGCAACACACTTAACTCTCGCAGTGCCTCTCTCCGCACACAAGTGTAAATTAATACAGGCAAATTCTCAAGGCAACCTGACAAAAATGCTGGTGACAGCCTACGATGGACTAGCATCCCACCCAGGGGAAGTAGCAATACTCCTAGTCGGCTTCATGTTACAGAAACCGGGATAAGCTCCGGTAGTGTTGGCTACTTTGGCCAAGTGCAGACCTTATATTCAGTCTATGATTAAACAGTTGTAATAATTACTTATTGTCATTTCAGTGCTAATTGTGCCCATAATTTATTCTACACACAAACCATTCAGTACAGCTTCCATGAATCCTATGGCCAGATCACTGTGGCTTGCATCTGGCTTGCTGGTCTGAAATATGATAGATGGAATATCCAAATTCAAATGCCACATGCACAATAAAGATTGAAATAGTGAGAG